GAGGTCAGAAAAGTGCATCTCGTACGTGTTTGTCACAAGCATAGGCGGCTCGCGCCAGGACTGCAGCGGCGGCAGACGTAAGGCAAGACTCCTTCACCGGGGAGTGCTCTGAGGAGGCGGTCAGCTGTGGCCGATGTGCGGGCAAGGATGACGGGGAGGGTGTCGAGCCAGGAGTCAAAGGGGGCATCGAGTTTTTTTTTGTGCTCTTTTTTGCTTCTGCACTCATCCGTTGCCTGCGCATGAAGCCCTGAGCGTGCAGCCTGGAAGGCTGCTCCGCCTCGGCGAGCGCGACAACCCAGCCGAGAGGGACTTGCTCGTCCCCGGGCGCGCGCCACATGCCGCCCAGGAGCGTCGACGCCAAGGCATGTTGCAGCCCACCATCGAGCTCAAGCAGGCTGGCGAGGCATTGGGGGGGCTTTTGGCGCGCACCGGCGCAGCCTACAGGTTACGAGCGTGTCCCACTCGGCTCGCCCTACAAGCTGCCGTTCCGGGCTTAATGCGCACGCAACGGAAGAAAAAAAAACAAAGGTTGGCAGGATGCACCTCGCACATTGCGCTCATCGCGTGCTCGGGCGGCAACCCGCTGCCAACGTTGAAATGGGTCGGCGGGCTCCTCGCCATGTCCTCGAGCAGCGGGCGCGTCAGCCCCTCCACCGACTGCGGCCCAGCTCGGTGCGTCGTCGCCGTCTCTACGCGGGCCAAGCCAAAGAGGTTCGACAAGGGGAGGGCGGTGAGCAGCGTGATCCACTCATGCCGGCTTTGTATTCTTTGGCACAGCACGAAACCCTCACCCAAATCCAATCTGAACTCGAAGACGGTGAAGCTGCGGCCGCTTTCCTCGATGATACCTACATCATCGCGCCGCCCGAGCGCGTACTGTACGGCCGCTGTATGACGCTTTGGCGCGGGCACTGTGGGAGCACGCGCGCGCCCGCCTGCATGAAGGAAAAACCCACATCTGGAATGCAGCCGGGGAAGACGCACAGGGCATCGCCGCCCCGAGCTTCGACCCGGAGGCGCCTGTTTGGGTTGGTGACTGGTCGTTACCTTCCGAACGCCAAGGGATTCCCCGCTTGGGCATGATGGCTTCGTCGCCGAGCAGCTCCAGCGCAAACGGGCCGACCACGACAGCGCTTGCCCCGCCTCGAGGACTTGCAAGCCGCGCGGCTGCTGCTGCACTCCTGCGCGGGCCAACTCCATGCTGTGAGTGCTGCTCCCGCATTTGAGGGGAGCATGATGTGTGCATCGACCGGGAGAAAGGTGACGCGCCATAAATTACAAGGTCCAGCCGGTCCAGCCCGCGCCGGTCATCTGGTGCAGCTCCCGGTGCGGTGCTCCGCGCCAGCCACTGTTGAGGGACAACCCCGTCCTTCAGCAGTTACGGCTGCGTGACTAGCGGAATAGTTTCATCTGACATGATGTATACGGCCTGAAAGCGCAGCTGCATCTTGTGTTGTGCTTGACAAGAGATACTCCTTTGCCTAGTGAACGCAGTGCACGGTCTTTTATGTTGTGAGTTGCTCTAAAGCGAGC